TCTGTCTGCCCCTAGCCACTCTGGAAGGGTCTGTCTGCCGCCCCTAGCCACTCTGAAGGGTCTGTCTGCCACCCTAGCCACTCTGAGCTGTCTGCCGCCCCTAGCCACTCTGAAGGGTCTGTCTGCCGCCCTAGCCACTCTGAAGGGTCTGTCTTCCGCCCTATCCACTCTGAAGGGTCTGTCTGCCGCCCCTAGCCACTCTGAAGGGTCTGTCTGCCGCCCCTAGCCACTCTGAAAGGGTCTGTCTGCCGCCCTAGCCACTCTGAAGGGTCTGTCTGCCGCCCCAGCTGACTACCTTTCACCTTGAGGAGGAAGGAAGGAAGAAAAAGGAAGGAAGGAAGGAAGGAAGGAAGGAAGGAAGGAAGGAAGGAAAGGAAACAGGAGGTATAGGGAAAAGGAAGAGAGGAAGTATGGAGGAAGAAAGAGGAGAGAGAAAGGTATGGAGGAAGAAAGAGAGGTTTGGAAGAGGAAGAAGGAAGGAGAGGACCTATGGAGGAAAGGGGATAGGATGGATGGAAGGAAGATACAGATAATAAGAAAGAAGGGGAGAAGAAGGAAGCGAAGCGGTAAGGAGGAGGAGGAGGAGGAATGAAGGAAGGTGGTATAGAGCAAAAAGGGACGTAGACTTGAGAGGTAAATAATAATAATAATAATAATGATAAATGATCGTCTTCGTACTGATAATAATTTAATCGTAATTATTCTTCCCTAATAACCTAATATACTTCTTTTGAATTATTTAGACGTGATTACATTTTTACGTCCAGGAATTTTGAATTGTATCAGAAATTATCGCTCATCAGTATATTGAGAAAGTCTATTTTTGGTCGTAAATGTCGACTTATCGGATGTGACAACGGACGAAATTAATTAAAAACTCACCCCATAACACACACCTAACATCCAATCCCGAGGCTCGTCTCTTCACGTGTTGTTTTAATACGTGCATTCCTATTGGCTGTAAACTATATTTTCCATGCGGTGGGGAAAAAAAAAAGTTGCTAGCCAATCACAGCGGTTGGTTGATCTCGTGGCATGTATCCAGGGTTTTGATTGGCTGAGATTTTAGAACACTGATACCGAGTGGAAACGTCAGTTGAAGGGAAATTATTTAAAAACTGAATATATATATTTTTTCAAATAGACTGAAAATATTAAAAAAAAAATGGAATGACATGTTGATTACAGGTTATTTACAGGTGTGTCATGTGTCGAAATTACATGTATTTATCAGAGTTAGGTTAAATGTGTTTACTGGGCAGCCACCAGTCGATACGCATAATTAAAACTTTCTGTAACAACCTGCAGTTTAATTTTTATATCACGTCATCTATTTTGTCTGTCTCTATGACTGTCTGTCTCCCACTGTTAAGAATATTACTCCATTACTTTCACAACCAAGTGGGTGGTGAGGAATACATTAAACCCTTAGACGAGGAATTGTGGGTGGTGCTCTCTCTCTCTCTCTCTCGCTCTCTCTCTCTCTGCCTCTCGCCTCTCTCTCTCGCCTCTCTCTCTCGCTCTCTTCGCTCTCTCTCGCCTCTCTCTCTCTGCCTCTCTCTTCTTACGTCAGATAGCGGCGGCCGGGGAGAATGCTGCAGTATTTATTTATTTGTTGACGTTCGTGTGAGACTTCAGGAGCCGAGTACGGATTTTTAATATCGTCTCTGGTAAGGCTGTGCTCAGTCCGTTCGCGTCACCCAAGCACACCGCCCTGTCCGGGAAAAAAGTAGAGGGGGTTTAGCGTGGTCAATAGACAGGTACCTGTCATATTAATGTTTTACTTGACAGCTCTAGATAGGCGCTGACTGCTGGTTGCCGAAAAGTGTTTTTTTTTGTGTCTGTTTGTCAACATGTGTTTTTGTGTGTGTGTTTATGTAATGCTGTTTATATACTGTACGCACATAAATATATATATATATATATATATATATATATATATATATATATATATATATATATATATGTATAATGTGTGAGTGCAGCAACTCAGCAGCTGGTGGGAGTGCTTTAAGGGCGGTGTCGTGGAGGTTAAAACAACTAAAATTATACAACACTGGCCGTGTCAAAGTTTGTAAATTATACACACTGTTGTCGCGCCCACCGTTGTTGAAAATTATACACGGCACATGACACCAAAGTTTGGAAATTATACACCGACAGAACCACCAAAGTCTGCCGTCTATACGCTATACAGATTATACTTCTAAAAACGCTTCCTAACACACCTTTGTGTGTGTGTTGATCCGTAGTAGATAGGGTTTTGTAAATCGCAGTGAATCATGAATGTTTGACTTACCAATCAAGTAGTTAAGAATATTGAAGACCCAATACTCTTAACCACTGTCAGTACCACCACCTAACCTAACCAACACCCTCAACAGAGAATCGAACCAATGACCCCTGCAACACTTAACCCAGTGCCATAACCACTTGCCCACCCACAGTACCTCATCAACCAGTCGACCAGAACAAGATTTATTTTGTATAATTTACCCAGCCGCCGTCAACACCAAGACTAGTCATTTATCCACACGTGTCTGTTCGTAAATTTGTAAATAATCCAAGACGTCAAGTGAACGTTTTACGACGTAGAAGTGGGATTGTTATTGACGTTTGTAACTCGTTTGTGGTGTGACGTGTCGTGTTGTACCCTGTTGTTGGTGTGTTTTATATACTCAAACGACTCGGGAGTATAGTCAACATTGAAGGTAATTTAAATGGTCGTTAAAAAGGTTATCGATGTCACATAAATCTTCAGGTCACGTGAGGATTAACCACCCTAGTTTGTTTCACCTGATGATTAAACACCTTAACGCCAACCCAACCCAACCTAAGCTAACCCAACCCAACCCAACCCAACCCAACCCAACCCAACCCAACCTAAGCTAACCCAACCCAACCTAAGCCAACCCAACCCAACGTGATCCACTTTATTTCTGATAAGGTTTTTTTTCTGAGATGGAAACTAAAACAAAATAAACCAAAAGAACATTAGACAATATTGGTTTTAGTGACGTCACAGAAGGTAATAATAGAGCTGGTTTAGCCTTGTGTTGTATCTTCTGTTTATACTATATGTTATATAGCCTGAGAGAGGTAAATTAAAATACGTTGATTCATCATACTCCTCCCATCCATCTAAATAGCTCCTGTAGTCATGAAGTAATGTAGAAATTATATAAAAATTTTGGAATAAGATACATTAGCCAGAGAGACAGACAGACAGAGACAGACAGACAGATAAATCAATAAAAATATGGAAGAAAACAATCAGACAGATAGATCCAGTATCCGGAGAGAGAGAGAGAGAGAGAGAGAGAGAGAGAGAGAGAGTACACACACAACACTGGGAGGAGAAACTCTTGTGTTATTTTTGGGGGAGAAAATGAGACATAATTGAATCCCTGTCTGTCTTGTCTGTCACTTAGTCGATCTGTCTGTCTCTGTCTGTCTGTCTGTGATTGCTTTCTCATTTTTTTATTGATTTTAACCATCTTATCTGTCTGTCTATTTGTTTCTCTCTCTCTTTGTCTCTGTCTGTCTGTCTGTCTGTCTGTCTGTCTGTCTGTCTGTCTGTCTGTCAGTTTGTCGAACCATATCAATCATCATTATTATTATTATTATTATTATTATTATTATTATTATCATTATTATTATTATTTTTATTATTATTATTATTATTATTATTATTATTTTTATTTTTATTATTATTATTATTATTATTATTATTATTATTATTATTATTATTATTATTATTGGCGAGGTAGTGAAACACGGATACCATATACCGTAGAGTTTATGACTTAATTGATGATGATTGATGATAAATATACCAAGGTGGTCATAAACTCTACGGTATATGGTATCCGTGTTTCACTACCTCGCCAATAATAATAATAATAAATAGTTTATCCAGTACGGTACTTGTTCCTCCGTCCGTCCGTCCGACTTTTCCAAAACTACAGGATCAGTTGGGGTGAGACTTGGTTTACTGTCAGTACCTCAGCGTTGGGCGTGTCTGGCGGTGTCCTGTGGGTGTTAGTTTGTACCCTGTGGTGGTGAAGGAGGAGGAGAAAGGGGAGGCAAAGAGGGGGAGAGGGATGGAGCAAGGCAGACAGGAGGAAGAAGGGAATAGGGAAGGGAGTCAGATATTGAAGGAGAGGGGCAGACATAAAGACAGCGAGGGAACCAGGGAGACACGAAGGCAGACAGACAGAGGAAGGGAGGGAGAGCAAAGGGAGGGAGAGTGGTAGACATGGAGGGATGGGGGAGGGAAGGAGGGAAGGAGGGAAGGAACCAGAGAGGCAGACAGACAGGGAAGCAGACAGACTGGTAGGGAGGGAGGGAGGAGGAATGAACTTATGTGAGGGCGTCTCCTCCCCCCCGTCTCTACGAGCTCATGCGCCCTCCCAACTCCGAAATTAGAGACGCAAAAATCTCACCCTGTCTCATGCCGCATCTGGAATTTTGTCTCTCTCCTCGTCTCTCACTTTCAACCATCGTGATTCTGTCTCTTCGTTTGCCACCGTCTCACAAGTCTCTCTTGAGGGAGAAGAAAACTAGTTTGCAAGTGTCAGGGCGTCTCTGGTAGTCGACATAACACACACTTGACTCTCGACGATTCTGTCTGTCTGTCTCTCTCTTTCTGCCTGCCTGTCTGTCTGTCTGTCTGTCTGTCTGTCTCTCTCAGTTGATACGAGATCTTGAAGATGTCGTGTTTTTTATTTCATCAGTTGCTTTGAATATATCTTATTGTGGTTTAAATTGTACTTATTGTTTTCTGGGCATTTCAATGTTTTTTTTTTCTATGTTGTTATTTCTTATTTATTTAGTTTATTGGATATATATAATTTGTTGGAGTATTTTTTTAACACGAGCTAAAAGGTTTGTGCTCTCTCTCTCTCTCTCTCTCTCTCTCTCTCTCTCTCTCTCTCTCTCTCTCTCTCTCTCTCTCTCTCAGTGACTGTAAGACTAACCCTTATCTCTCCCCCCCACAGTTCGACGTGTGCCGCCCAGGTTCAGTAAGGCACCAAACTCCATCTACGAAGTCATGCCCGGCGCCTCCCTCAGTATCTCCTGCGTCGCCGTCGGCTCCCCCATGCCCTATGTCCAGTGGAAGAAGGTGGGTAGTGGGTGTAGGGGAATAGGTAGTGGGAAATGGGTGATGGGAAATGGGTGACGGCCTTTCGTAGGTTGATTCATCTTTTCGCTACGGGTTAATTACAGTGTTTCATGTACAGGTGTGTTAAAAACCTGTGTTATCTGAAGTGGTTCACGTACATAGATGTTAATACACTCACTACTCGATATATCGTTGCTGACAGGTGCTTATTAAAGGTGTTATACCTGGACACGTGCTGAATTAATCAAGTGCTCCTCTCCCTTCACAGGTGGTCATACAGGCAGGTGTCTAGGTGCAGGAATATACAAGTGTTGAGAGATACATGACTGTGTGTGTGTGTGTGTGTGTGTGTGTGTGTGTATTCTCAGGTGGTCATTTGAAGGCAGCCTAACTCACTAATATCTTTAATAGCCTTGGTGACCTGGCCTGACCTGTCCTGATGGTCTCAAGGCCCCTCAGATCAACTACATCAATATAGTTCGACCTCTTCATAAGTTGCTAATGACCCAATTTGACCCCGCTATATATGGCTCCTCCCAAGGGTCCCAGCATGTATAGTTAGGCCATTAAGTAGCAAATCTTATCATCTTATTTGACCATGTTTTATGTTGTCGTTAGTTGCTTCTCACAACGACCTCATATGACCTAAAGTAACCGTGGAAAGCCTATTTATTTTTATTTGACCTAACCAGACCTGACTCTGTACATCACTTCTCCTCTCGTGACCGATATATTTTTGTGACCTAACCTGACCTGACCTGACCTGACCTTGTATAACGCTCTCCGTACATTGACCTGAACTAACCCTATATGTTTTTTACCTGATTAACTTGAACTGACCTTGTACATCACTCTTCCTTCCTTAATATCCCTATATAATTTTGTGTCTTGACCTGATCTGACGACCGTTCTTCTCCCCACCACCAGGGCCCCGCCATCGACCTGACGGACAACCTGATCACCAAGAACGTGTTGGTACTCGAGAACATCCAAGAGTCTAACAACTACACCTGCCAGGCACAGTCTACCCTCGGCCTCGTCACCCAGGATGTGTTCGTCAAGGTCCAAGGTAAGACTCGAGCAAGGGGTAGTGAAGTGTTCTGAGGTGAGACTCGAGCAAGGGGTAGTGAAGTGTTCTGAGGTGAGACTCGAGCAAGGGGTAGTGAAGTGTTCTGAGGTAAGACTCGAGCAAGGGGTAGTGAAGTGTTCTGAGGTAAGACTCGAGCAAGGGGTAGTGAAGTGTTCTGAGGTAAGACTCCTGAGCAAGGGGTAGTGAAGTGTTCTGAGGTGAGACTCGAGCAAGGGGTAGGGAAGTGTTCTGAGGTAAGACTCGAGCAAGGGGTAGTGAAGTGTTCTGAGGTGAGACTCAAGCACAAGGGGGAGTGAAATCCCATGGGTAGGGAGGGGGTAATAGGATAGTGCTCCCTCCTCCGTCCTTCCTTCCCTCCCTCTCACCCTCTCACCCTCCCTCCCTCTCACCCTCCCTCTTCTCTATCCTAGCTCCCTCCCTTTTACCTTCCCTCTTACCCTCCCTCTTACCCCCTCCACCCCTCCCCCCTACAGCCAAGAGAGCAATATAATAATCCTGTCAGATGACTAACGCAGGAAAGTAATATTCCTGAGGGTGGGGACCTCCTCCTCCTCCTCCTCCTCCTCCTCCTCCTCCTCCTCCTCCTCCTCCTCCTCCTCCTTTTCTCCCTCACCTCCACCTCCGCCAGTCCCGGTCATTTATTGAGATTATTATTATTATTATTATTATTGTATTGAGCTTTAAGATATGCTTAGTGTATTATATTCTTATACCGTATTTTATGTATCGTGTATTTTCGGTATATTGCAGTTAAAGCGATAATGTATGTTTGGTATAATGTATTTTAAGTCGACTTATGTATAATTTTTCCTGTTACTCCTCTACAACTTCTTCACTGGCTGATTTTTATCCCTTTTCTCCTTCCCCTTCTTCCATTCCTCCCCTTCCCCTCTTCTCTACCTTTCTCCTTCCCTTCTTCTATCCCCCTTCCCCTTCCTCCACCTCCTTCTCCTCTTATTCCCCATTTCCTTGTAGGTTTTGGCCGCTCTTAATCCACACCAAATTAAGAGCGAGAGAAAGTGGAATAAATGTCATGGATAGAGATAGACACACGCACGCACACGCACACGCACACACACACACACACACACACACACGCACACACACACACACGCGCACACCTGACTTAAATGAAATAGCTGTTTGGAGATGTAAAAATATTTAAATATCCTCCAAGACCTAAACCAATGTACATAACCATCACCAATAAGGTCGACGAGCTGCTGACGGAAGACGGGATTACCGCCCTTCTTGCATACCACTGGCTTGTCACTCTCTTCCCCCGAGGCTATTCATAATTTTTTCTTTTTTTTAATTAATCTGGGACTCCGACATTCTATTGACGAGTAATGATGTCGGTAAGGGAGGGTGTGGAGGGAAGGGGTGGAGGAGGGGTGTGGAGGAAGGGGGTGAGGGAAGGGGGGGTGTGGAGGGAAGGGGTGGAGGAAGGGGGTGGAGGGAAGGGGGTGTGGAGGAAGGAGGGTGGAGGGAAGGAGGGTGTGGAGGGAAGGAGGGGTGGAGGAAGGAGGTGTGGAGGGAAGGGGGTGGAGGGAAGGAGGGTGTGTGGAGGAAGGGGGTGTGGAGGGAGGGGTGGGGAGGGAAGGGGGGGAGGGGAAGGGGGGTGGGGAGGGAAGGGAGGGGTGTGGGGAGGGAAGGAGGGGTGGGAGGGGAAGGGGGTGGAGGGAAGGAGGGTGGGAGGTGTGGAGGGAAGGGGGGTGGGGAGGGAAGGAGGTGTGGGGAGGGAAGGGAGGGTGTGTGGAGGGAAGGAGGGTGTGGAGGGAAGGAGGGGTGTGGAGGGAAGGAGGGGTGGAGGGAAGGGGGTGTGGGGAGGAAGGAGGGGTGTGGAGGAAGGGGGAGGGAAGGGGGAGGGAAGGAGGTGGGGAGGGGAAGGGGGTGTGGGAGGAAGTGGGGGGGTGGGGAGGGGAAGGGGTGGAGGGAAGGGGTGGAGGGAAGGGGGGTGTGGAGGGAAGGAGGGTGTGGAGGGAAGGGAGGGTGGAGGGGAAGGGGTGGAGGGAAGGAGGGTGTGGAGGGAAGGGGTGGAGGGAAGGAGGGTGGAGGGAAGGGGGGTGTGGGAGGGAAGGAGGGTGGGGAGGGTGAGGGAAGGGGGGGTGTGGAGGGAAGGGGTGGAGGGAAGGGGTGGGAGGGAAGGGGTGTGGAGGGAAGGAGATATTCAACTGGAATTCTAGGTCTAGTCATTAAACAGTCTCTTCCCACACACACACACACACACACACACGCACACGCACATGCACACACACACACACACACACACACACACACACACAGGTACATACGTTTTCCTAGGCTTAAAGTTGACGACATCGCTTTCCCTATTTTGTAGGGAGGGAATGGTGGTGGGTAGGGGAGGGGAATGGTGGTGGTAGGGAGAGAATGATGGTGGTATGGAGGGAATGAGGGATGGTAGGGAGGGAATGGGGGGTGGTAGAAGGGGAATGGTGTGATGGTAGGGGGGTGAAGGACGGTAGGGAGAGAATGATGGTGGTAGTGAGGGAATGATGGTGGTAGTGAGGGAATGATGGTGGTAGGGAGGGAATGGGAGATGGTAGGGAGGGGGTGAAGATGAGAGAAAGGTGTTCAGGTGTAGGTATATCCAGGTGCACATATCAGGTGTGTAAATATATCCAGGTGCACATATCAGGTGTGGACATACTTTTGTGAATATAATTTTTTCTGTGATAGCTTAGTACATTTTTACGCTAGATTTAGCTGTCACAGGGAAACATAGCTGTGGATGGTGGGTTATTTATACACCAGCTAACATATAAAAAGCTAACTTAGCCTAATGTTTTGTTCAAGTGTCTAAAAAGTTCATATTTATTTTGTGAGGATAAATTTACCTCTTTTTTTTTATTTGTGAGAGATTAATGGTTTGTTATCTCTCTCTCTCTCTCTCTCTCTCTCTCTCTCTCTCTCTCTCTCTCTCTCTCTCTCTCCAAGGAATCTCTGTCTGTCTTTGTCTCATCTCTTAAGCTAAGGATGATCCTGTCTTTTCTGCCCGTCTGTTTGTCTGTCTGTCTGTCTGTCTGTCTGTCTGTCTGTCTGTCTGTCTGTCTGTCTGTCTGTCTGTCTACCCACCCTCCTTAATCCCCAAAATAACCTAACCACATATTTCCATCTATCTAAATGTCTATCTATCTGTCTATCCCCCAGCGCTGCCCCGTCCGCCCGACAACGTAAGGATCAGTGACGTTATGTCTACGTCAGTCCGAATCACCTGGAGTTATGACGTCAGCCCGGGCGAGGTATCGTATTACGTCATACAGTACAAGCCGCGTAATGCTGACCGCGACTATGCCGAGATCTCCGGCCTGGTGACCAAGTTCTACACCGTCAGCAGTAAGTACCTGGGTGACACTCTCCTTGTTTGTAGTAGAGGATGGATGACACTTTCTTCTTCGTCAGTAGTAAGTATATGGGTGACACTTTCCTTCTGTTTAGTAGGGAATGGGTGACACTTTCCTTCTGTTTAGTAGGGAATGGGTGACACTTTCCTTCTGTTTAGTAGGGAATGGGTGACACTTTCCTTCTGTTTAGTAGGGAATGGGTGACACTTTCCTTCTGTTTAGTAGGGAATGGGTGACACTTTCCTTCTGTTTAGTAGGGAATGGGTGACACTTTCCTTCTGTTTAGTAGGGAATGGGTGACACTTTCCTTCTGTTTAGTAGGGAATGGGTGACACTTTCCTTCTGTTTAGTAGGGAATGGGTGACACTTTCCTTCTGTTTAGTAGGGAATGGGTGACACTTTCCTTCTGTTTAGTAAGGAATGGGTGACACTTCGTTATTCGTCAGTGATGCAGTGGGGCTGGCAGGTGACCAGGCCGTTTCATCCTTACTTGACGGCGATTCACTGTACTGAACCTCCCCACCAACACAGTGTGGAACTGGTAACGAAGCAGAGTGACTCGGGTCAAGACTCGACACACGAGATGGAGAGGAGGATATTAGCCGACGACTGTACTGGTGATTGATGAGGAGTGATGCTAATATTATGTTTACGGAATGAAGCAAACATTTGATGTGTGTGTGTGTGTGTGTGTGTGTGTGTGTGTGTGTGTGTGTGTGTGTGTGTGTGTGTGTGTGTGTGTGTGTGTGTGTGTTCGTTTACCTGTATATCTCAGAATATAATTAAGTCGGATGTGTAACATAAGTCAGTGGTCACCTAATGTCAGCCTGCGGTAAGTGAAGCGTCAGGTAAATATGAAGATAATAACAGCCCTAAACAGTATTTATGTTGACCACATGTAGTCACACCCTAAAAAGTATCGGCCGCTTTTCTCATCCATACAATGTGTTACAATGGACGAATATTTCCGATCACTAACTGTGATTCCTGCATTATGTTGGTAGGTCTGCCTTCTTAGTATCTGTGAGGTTGCCAGTTATTGTTTCTGGCATTTGTTGTAATTAGGGAAATCACCATGCTCCATCTTTAGTAGGATAATATAATGGTATTGGTGTAGCGAAAATATATCAACAGCAGTCAAATAGTTGGTGTTTTCTGCTGGAAATCCCTGACCAACACTGGTACCCGAGACTCACTGGACAACACAGCCTGCACCGACAGACAGCTTCTCGTAGTGTGTATCAGACAATGTTCCGTTGCCAGCTTGAATCATGAGATGATGGGTTATATTCATAATTATTAGCTGATCAATTGAAATAGAAATAATATCGAAATGCAATAAATCATAATGTCATGGTAATTGAATATGGCATCATAATACACCTGTAATTACTATATTTATAAATGAATGTAATATCAGATCATAGTGTTTCATATTTCGTTCGAAGAGATTCCATTGTAACCTCGGTTCATGAAAACATAGTAACGTTATATTCCTATGTGTGAACCCATCCCCCTGGGGCTGAAATAGCATCAAAGGTCCATAAATCAGCGGGGTTACTCATGATGTTGTTAGTTTTGCACATGGTATCACAATTCATCCTATTTCATTACATTATGTAGAGAATAGGTGGTATATTACAGAAATTATGGTGATTATCAGGTTGAAGAAGAAAGAACGAAAGGTGCAACTCACAATCAGAAATACCAACTGAACCGATCCTGCTGTGCTTGTGTTCATTGACAAATACATCATGCCCAGGGGACCAATACTTTTTGGAGGAGTGTACACAAACCGGTCCATCACTGATATGAAGATACGAAATGTTCCTTATAATAAACTTCATGCTAGGAATCTACCATAGATACTGCTACAATGTACTGTGTTACTTAAGAGATTATTGGCAGCGGGTATAACGTCACTTCCCCGTAATATGTGATCTCCATCGAACTCATAATATATAACATGGCGATGATCTCCCAAGTTATGGAGAATATTGCGTCAAGCTTTATAAGTGAATACTGTATGATAATATTTAATTTGGGATGATTATTAGAACAATGGACACAATCATTCTAGTCAGCTCTTTTCCCATGTTATTCTTTGACTGATCTAGTCTTTTTTTTTTTTTAGCTGACGTTACAAGTCCCCTGCGGCTCTCTCTGGCTCATTGGCTCATACATAATATCCGATGATATTGATATACCGCAAATTAATCCATATAACTGTTAAGGCTACCCAATTCTGGCTCACTTTAATGCTGAATTTAATGTATAAAAAGATATAACTGCTTGAAAACATTAACATTCCAGATATGAATATGTAAAAAGAAAATTAGATAAAGAATATTTACCGTCAAAGTCCCAAACAAATTCACGCTTTCGGAGAACACATTCGCTACTACTTCTCTTTTCAGTAATTATTATGTATATGACACATGACATATGACACATGACACCACGCATATAAAACCACGGATAATAACGACCAGCCAGGACGACCTATGTTATTGTGTTTCTACCTTAGTGTTACGGGTTGACAATCACCGCTGGACACCTTACATGTTGCCTCGACTTCCTCTTACCTGTATATAATATATTTAGTTTCTTGTATTCAAAATCTTCTCTGATAATTAATTCACTAACTAAAATCAGCAGTAAAGTTGGAGCCTCTAGTCTGCGTGTATAGTGTTGGAGCATTAACAGTAAATTTGTGGCTCTGGAGACGCATACGGACAGGTAGAGAGAGAGAGAGAGAGAGAGAGAGGTGGGAATAATATTTCACATAGTCCATTGTGTCCACCTACCACACCATACACACGCACATGACCACACTGTTGGCTGCGTGTGGCGGGGTGGGGCGGGGTGGGGTGGTCATGATGGGGGCGTGAGGGTGGTCATGATGGGGCCGTGAGGGGCAGCCGTTCATTACCTCAAACCACCGCTGTTAGAAGTCTGTAATTCATACTCACTAAATAATATTGATAGTTGTAAGTTATGTCTATTGATGGTTGTGTTTTTCGAAGTATAATCTGGATGATCGTTTACAGTGACAATGTATAAACCTCTTGTATTAACCCAAGCAGTAGTGTCCCTCGCAGTGGTTGTTAGAGTGTGTTGGTGGGGAGACTCGCCATCAAGTAAGGGTGGAACGGCCTGCTCACCCTCTGGCCCCACTGTATCAAGAATTCATGTCCCCAACTGTATCTTGGTGACACTTTCCTTGTTGGTAGGGGTGACACTTTCTTCGTCAGTAATGAGTATTTGGTGTGACACTCTCCTTGTTGCCAATAATAAACAGATGAATGTCATATTAAGTTAAGGTACTGTAGAGTCTCTGTAATTTGAAGGCCATTTTTGGATGTTTTTTTGATGCCTTACGTGAAAAAGAATTAATCATTTACGAGGATTATTGGTGGCAGGAAGCTTAGAAACTCCCGTGTTTATTATTATAGTTTACATTATATTTTGTTTGTATTATTGTATAGAGAAAAATGGATCTTCTTTATTTTTGTTGTTGTTTATTGTAGAGAGTAAGGAATGGTGCTTAATAACCCTGGTAGCTTAGCAGCGTAACACACACACACACACACACACACCAGTAACAAAAGATAGGAAGTCAATACAATATTACGGAATGAATTTTAAGTGTAACAAAGAGTTTGTTTGTCATCGGCAGGTAATCGTCCCCCCTGGAATATTTGTGTGAGAGAGGATATCTATATCTAATATATATATATATATATATATATATATATATATATATATATATAAATATATATATATATATATATATATATATATATATATATATATATATATATATATATATTAGATATATATATATATATATATATATATATATATATATATATATATATATATATATATATATATATATATCTATATATATATATCTATAGATATATAGATATATATATATATATATATGGATATATAGATATATAGATATATAGATAATATATATATATATAGATATATATATATATATAGACATATATATATATATATATATATATATATATATGTATATATATCTATATATATATATATATATATATATATATATATATATATATATATATATATATATATATATATATATATTAAAGAGTGACATTTCTGGTTGGTTTAATGCATCGTAAACACATCAGAGGTGGGCACAATTTATACACATAATATCTCGTGTTTCATTCAGTTTACACGTGGCAGGTGGGTTTACGGCTCCTTGGGGGTAATATTACTCCACCGGTATTAACAATATTCCTCCTCCTCGTTATTACTCTGAGGGAATATTTCATTGCCACTAACATTTACATAGATTTGTTTTGTCTTAACTTGAGAAACTACATATATGGGATCATGTGAAGATTAGGCACCCTAGCTTATGTCTCCCTTAAGATTAAACTCTAACCTAACTTAACCTAACCTAATAACATAACAGAATATAACGGCATAACCTAACCTAACCCAGGTGGCGTTAGGGAAGTAGATGAGTAGATAAAGAAGTGAATAGGTAGATGTGGAAGCTGATAGATAGGGAAGTAGATGGGTAGATAGAAAGGTTAATAGGTGGATAGGGAGGCAGATAGAGGAGTACATGAGAAAATAGGGAGATTGTTTCTGTAATTGAAGTGATAAATTTTTTCTACTTGTCATCTACTTTTTTCTGGTGAGATTAGAAGAGTTAACAGGTAGTTTATTGACCAGATCTCTCTCTCTCTCTCTCTCTCTCTCTCCTTTCTTTCTTCCTTCTCCCTCCTCTCCGTCCGTCCCTCCCTTTGTTACTCCCTCTTTCTCTTCGTTCCTCCCTCCCTCATACTTACCTGTCTCCCTCCATCCCTCTCTCTTTCCTTCCCTCTTTTTCCCTCCTGTTTTTCCTCCCTCCTTTCATCCTTCCCCCTTTCCTTCTTTCCATCATTATTATTATTATTATTATTATTATTATTATTATTATTATTATTATTATTA